GGACACCTGGACATGACTCCAGTCCATCACAGGGACACCTGGACAGGACACAGAGCCACATGGAGACAAGTGAGACAACCACTCAGTCCTCTTCTTCTTGATGATAAAGGTGCAGACTCTACCATGTAGAGCACATATGTGTCAAACTCAAGTCCCGGGGGCCAAATGTGGCCCTCGTTGACATCTGGCCCCCAGGATGATATGTTAAATGGAAAATACGTTTTTCACTTGAATTTTTTCATCATTCCTTGATTATGATGTGGAAAGTACAACAGAGAACATCAAATGAGGCCAATCAAACTCTTGTTGAGGAACCTGGCACCAAGAGAAGATGTTGGTATCTAACTTGAGTTAATGTCGATTCTGAAACCGGCTCTTAGTTTGAAAAAGGTTTTAATTTTGGCCCCTTTGTAAGTGGGTTTGACGCCCCCGATGTAGAGGATGTGATTGTACGTCCTGCACATCTCCATCCTGGCCCACTCACTCAAACTTTATCGTCTACCACTACATGACGGTTTGCACACGCCTCGTGTTTACGGTTTTATGTTTGGGACTCTGCAGATCTGGGCGGGCGATGAATATGTCTGGCGGCGCCCGGGGAGAGGAGCTCACGGACGAGGAGAAGGAGATCATCAACGGCGTGCTGGCTCGTGCTGCCATGATGGAGGCCGTGGAAAAGGAGAGGATTGAGTACGTGATCTTCTCGGTGTTCTTCTTCAACCTTTAAGGCAGCCACTCACCAACGTTCACGGAGTCAAGTCGATGTGACGTAACATTTGTGTGTTTCTACTTCCTGTGCCCTCAGACGTCTCTCCAGTCGTCTGGATGGCATCAGGAAGACGGCGTGTGGTGACGGACAGTCACGATGTCTGCTGTGCGGGGGGCATTTTGGATCTCAGGGGGTTACAGCTGTCCTCTGTGTGCAGTGCCACAAAGTAGGTTTCATATTGAAACTTGGAAAAAGAACTGAATGCACATGTGAACAGTTATTCCTGAATTTTTCCTATTGTTGATATCTTAATGGGATTAGGATTAGGGTTATCTGAACTCTGACAGGATTAACATATCAGAAGTAAATGTATGTGCATGTTGTGCACGTTAAAAAATAAGTTACATTTAGGGCTAAGAAAGGTCACTTTAAAAAAAAGTGAGTTGCCAAATCCAAGTCGGCTAATTTCTTTAAAACTCCCGTTTTGTCACAAAAAATCAGTTTCAGTTGTCAGCCAATCAAAAGCTTCCAACACAGTGACATCATTAATTTAATTATTTAATAATTTATTTAATCCAAAAAAGTTCAATCTGGTCCTCTGGACATTCAAAACAACAAAACAAAGCAAAAAGAAGTAGAAACTTTTCGTCTCTCATCCTGAGGACTTCCTCAGTCTGAGGTGCTGTATTCAGCTCAGTCTCTTAAATAG